GGTCTATGCATCCACACAATAACATGAATTGGTTGAGGAAATGTACATTACACTTACAGACGTTCCTATAACGTTGTGAGAACGTTGCACAATATTTGACAGAAATAACGATAATAAAATTTAAATTCCCTGCAATAATTAATAAAGGTTTTATATTAACATACGATATAGGATATACAGGCGTTAATTAATTATAGAAAAATACGCGGACATCCTAATAACGTTTTTGAAACGTTACTGCGTAACGTTGTGAGAAGGTATGAGTGTAACGTTCGTATGGTACGTTTTTGGAACCTTGCTACAACCTTATTCGTGACATAACCAAACTACAACATTCCAGCAACGTTAAAGAAACGTTGTGTTAGCTGCAGTATCTGTATAATAGCAACTTTTTTTCGATTATGTTTTCTGGCAATAATTTTTCAAAATAAAAACTTTATAAATCTGTACTCGTGGTAGTAATAATATGGTGGGTAAATGGGTAAAATGGTCGTGAGAGGGTAATCATCAGGTTGGTAATAGTCCGATGTGTATTGTGAACGCGCCATCATTATTGTAGGCCTACGGATAGTAATTTTCCGTAATGGTAATTGTCCGGGTGGTAATTGCCCCCTTGGTAATTGTCCTGGGGGTAGTTGTCCAGGTGGTAATTGTCCGGGTGGTAATTGCCCGGGTGGTAATTGTCATAGGTGGTAATTGTCCTAGGGGGTAGTTGTCCGGGTGGCAGTTGTCTTGGTGGTAGTTGTCCTAGAGGGTAATTGTCCGGGTGGTAGTTGTCTGGGGGGTAGTTGTCCAGGGGGTAGTTGCCCTAGAATCGGCACTATATCAGAACTTCTTCAGGATTTCATGTAGTACTCATGTGCAAAGTTTCACAATTCTACCCAAAAGTGCACAATTCATGTTCTTATCCGCTGGACTAAAACGCGTGGTGCTGTTGATGTTATTACTCGCTTACCAAATACATAAATATAGTGTGTATTTTTATGTTTATATTTATGTGTAAGTGTGCGTAAGTATTTATTTAGCATTATATTTTATTGAAACGCTCCAAGTGCCTGTGGTACAGACGAGTATGATGGCAGGAGCCGGATCTGCATTGCTAAGCTAACCTACATAACGGCAGCATATTTCTGAGGATTACTGTAACTGCAGTAATATTTCACGGGAAATGCCAGGGGGCTGTTGTGAGAAACGTTTCAGTCGCAATGCTGCTAGTCATAGTTGTAACTTTTCCCACGTGTTTTTTTATAATAGTACTAATCATTATCATAGAGCTACGGTGTTTATGGCAATAGCCGCCAGCAGCTAAGCAGACACGGACACGAGAGAGGAGGAGGGGGAGATGACATAAATAAACAAAGGAAAATAAAAATGAATAAGACTCAGTCTATAGCTCACCGCTACCCACTTCATTACACAGCCTGTCTGAACAATAGTAGCATATTTCAGAGCGGTACTTACTGTATACGCCATATTTTTCGCGTATACAGATATTTTCGCGAATTCAGACTTGACGGACAATTTCGCGAGTGGTTAATTTCGCGGTCGGTGAATTATGAATTATTCGGTATTATTCGGTATGAGATATTCGCGTGTTGTTATTTTTGCAGTCGGGGACGCGTTCGCGAAATTCGCGAAAATTTAACCACCGTGAAATTTACATCGTATACAGTAATTGGTGACATTGCTATTCGATGAAATAAAAGCTAGAAGTAGGTATCGGTATGACTCTAGACAAGAGATGTGTGCTCAGCATAAACAGACACCTGTCTATAGAAGACATTCTTAGTGTTTTATTCTAAGTGGCAGTTATAGTCAACCCACCTCTGTAGAACTGCAACCTGTCTATAAGAGAAAGGACACACGGCGTCTCCCTAGGGTGGCCCTTACACACAGGTGTTATATAGTGTACTGTCTGTCATACCTTCTGCTATGCAGCGCTCGTCAGATGTTGTAGTCTGGTGGTCATGTTAGAAAGACTCTGTTCAAACGCTGCGACGACGTGACCCTGCAAACCAACAAGCACCACGTGAACATGAGCAGTGCTCAGATGCACACACACGCGCACGCACGCGTACGCGTACCCACGAGCAGATTACTGTAACGGTGAACCAAACAAAAACAAAAGAATTCCGCAACATGAAATCTAGAACCACACGTACACGGATTCAATCGGATTTTACACCGTCGCAAAACCGCATCTATACTGCAAACTATGAAAACGAGACTCTCACATTCCTTTTATTTCATCGCGCATGCAACACCTTTTTTGGAAAGTTGCTTACATGAACCGCTCAGTACGTAAATCTTAATTGTAAAAATAGTAACATCGTTCTTGCAACTCGCGAGTTACACGTATCCATGAAAAGCCCCACTGTTCACTAGCAGCTTCTGCGCTTACGTGTAATGTACGTAAAATTAATTACTCCTGCGCTAATGCATAGCTACTAAATCAATACCATCATTTCATTACAACTATTAGCCTGCCACGCATATAATATAAATTAAGCGTTTACGACTAGCTATCCAATCGACAGTCTGGTGTTAAAATGGTACACGAGACAAGCGAAACTAATATACAGGTAATCGTTAAATCCAACAAGTGACTGTTTGTCTAGACGCATAATTCCCAAAAAAGATTAAACATAACATAAAATATTTATTAGTAGGCCTACTGCATTTAAAATATTTGAACCTAATTCTAATAGCATGAAACAAGAGAGAAAAATGGACTCTAATCTTTTGTAGCTTTTGTAATAGCTTTTGTAATTTTGGAAGCTGTCAAATATTTTTGACCTAAAGTGAGTGAGTGTCTATATGCGTAACACACACGCACGCATGCGCACGCACGCACGCACATACACATATATACAGGATATATATACACACATGTATACATAGTGTAGCCAGCATACCAGACAAAGCTTCTCCCATTCTTTGCCATCAACGTCAGATCTAGAGAGAATTGCTTCCATCCTGTACGTATATTTATATAATACTCTGCCCCCTATCGTCTTCTCCTGCCCCTCGCTATCGTTTATTTGTATCATTCTGTGTCTCTCGCCATCTCTTTCTCTTTCTCCCTGCATCTATCTCAAGCTCACCAGCTTACTCGACGAAGTGTGCTCAAAATTTGCTTTCGCTCTATCGCGGAATCTCTTTCTTTCTCTCCCCGTTCCCCCTTTGCGTTTCACACCTCTCTTTCTCTCGGTTTGTCCTATTCTCTCGCACCCGTACTTCCCTCTTGCAGATGGTATCGCCCACGACATCAATAGTATGGCGGATGACCACCAGGTGGCTCACGCGCGCACACACACGCGCATAAACACGCGCACGCACACGCGCGTACACACGGCGCACACACACAAGCGCGCACACACACGCGCATAAACACACGCGCGCACACACGGCGCACACACACGCGTATACACACGCGCACACACACGTATAGACACATGCGCACACACACGCATAAACACGCCCGCACACACATGCCCATACACACGAAACACACGCGCACACACGCGCGTACACATGCGCGATTACACACACGCACATACACACGCACACACACACGCGCACACAGACGAAACACACGCGCACACACGCGCGTACACACGCGCACACACGCACGCACACGCGCCTACACGCGCGTACACACACGCGCACACACACGCACATACACACGCGCTCACACACGCACATACACGCGCGCGCACACACGCGCATACACGCGCGCACACGCGCGCACACACGTGCATATAGATGCGAACGCACGCGCACGATGTGTGCGTGCGCTTGTGTGTGTGTATGTGTGTGTGTGTGTGTGTGTGTGTGTGTGTGTGTGTGTGTGTGAGAGAGAGAGAGAGAGAGAGAGAGAGAGAGAGAGAGAGAGTGTGTGTGTGTGTGTGTGAGTGCGCGCGTGCGTGTGGGTGTGCGCGCGTGCGTGTAAGTGTATGTGCGTGAGAGAGAGAGAGAGAGAGAGAGAGAGAGAGAATGAGAGAGAGAGAGAGAGAGAGAGAGAGATCGAGACGAGAAAGAGAAGAGAGAGAGAGAGAGAGAGAGAGAGAGAGAGAGAGAGAGAGAGAGAGAGAGAGAGAGAGATGCAATAAGAAGAGCTTTAATACATAGCTTTCGATATTTATCACTTTCATTTTTGTTATCTCACCAGACCTCATGGTATCTCTCATAATTACTGTTTTTAAAATAGTCTCCTTCACATATTTTTTCCATTCTTTCTTATGTTTCGAACCAATAGTCATAAGTGACATGGTACTTGTGTCATACTCTTTCAAGATTTCTAAAACCTCATTTGCCCAATTACTTCAAATTTCTTTAATTTGTTCTAAAAATACTCTTTTCATTAATCTATTATTTTCTAACTTAATAATGTATTGCAATAACATTAACTTTTTATAACTTATTCTATCTTTTATTGGTATTATTCCCATTTCTATTCTTAGAGCCTCTAGTGGTGTCGTGCTGTGCGCTTGGAGTATCCTTCTTAAACATTCATTTTGGAAATTCTCTACCATTTTTCCTCTTCCTTGGTGAGATTAGTCCGAGTTTCGCTATTATTTAGTAGTGACGGCACTACAGTGCATTCGTAAAGTTTAACACGTGCTTCCATCGCATAGTTTCCAAAATTTTGTTGATTAGCCAATAATAGCCATAGATATGACTTCACTCATCATAAATCGACCTTTATCTGTTCTGTGTTTTATCATTTCTTTATATCCTCCTTTTTCACTTAAAATCTCGCCTTTAAGTATGTATATTTACTACATCTTTTTATTATTTGATCTCCGAGAGGTATCTGTTTTCCTTTGCTACTTGGGCTTCCAAATTTTATTTCCAATATATTTGTCTTCCTCATATTAAATTGTAGTAATTTTTCTAGTAATCAATCTACATCAACACGACATTAATGATTAACTGTCTATTGAGGTCGCGCCCTCTAGTGGATCACTTTATCTACCTTGTGTAAAAAAATTTGCGAATGCAGCGCCTTCTACGGATGCCAAAATGGCTGATACGGAACTTGACGTAGACAGTTTAATCGGGCGGCTCTTAGAAGGTAGATTTTAAAGGCTATTTAAAGACATATTTACACTACATCTCCGAATATATGCGCACTAGTACACCTAGTTGTGTTAACGTGTTAAATAGTTTCACACAGCGAATTTTTATGCGTAGTACTAGTA